AAATTTACACTGACACTAATCTTCAAACCCATACTGCAACACAAGGAAGTGAAATTCCTGCACGATTCCCAACCCTAAGACTAATTCAAGCCCTAATGCTAACTCTAACAGTACTTATCAGAGCTACACTGCAATGCTCTGGTACTTAGAATCCAACACTATTCCTCACCCTCAGAAAAATCCTTTCCCTAAGTGTCATACTTACACTCCATTACAAGGTACTTCAATTTCTTCCATATCCTTATCCCCAAAACTAATCCTAACCCTAAACAAATCCCTTAATCCCACATTCCAATACTGAGGTGCTTGAAATACTACAGTATTCCTAACCCTAATACCAAATTTAATCATGATACAAACTATCAAAAGCACACTGCACCACACAGGTATTTAAATTCCAAGACTAAGACTTAGCCCAACCTTAACCCTTACTCTAAACCTACCTTAACTCTAACCTAGGTACCTGCAATCCCACACCACTGCTACCCATACTCCTGCAATTTACACTACCATTAAACATTCAACCCACACTCCAGTAAACTGGGAGTGAAATTCTTAAGATATACCTAACACAAGGCCGAGTCCTAAACTTAAAACTAACACTAAAGCTAACACTACCCATCTGAGCTGCACTATAATGCTCAGGTACTTGGAATACCACTGTATACCTCAGGCTCATACAAATCTCTGCCCTAACTTTCATTTACAAACTCAAATTATCAGGCACTTGAACTCCATCCATATCCCTTTCACCAAGCCTATCCCTAAACCTAACCACAAACACTATTCCTCAGTACCAATACAGCACTACTTGAAGTTCCACACTACTCATAAAGCTCAGGCCAAAGGTAATGCTGACACTAACTATGAAACCCACACTCCAATAACCAGAAAAAAAAATTCAAGGCTCTCACTCACCCCAACCCTAACCCAAACCCTAAGTACCATGAACTCTAACCCAGGCACTTACATTCCTAAATGATGCCAAAACCTAAACCTAAAATTAACATGAACACTATACTCAGACCCATACTCCACTACATAGGTAGTGAAATTCTGACTCTATGCCTAAACCTAAGCCAAATCCTAACCCTAAATTTAAGCCAAATTTTATGAATCCTTTCTAAACTGCAATGCTCATGTACTTGGAATCCCAAACTCTACCTCACCTTCAGGAACATACTGGCCCTAAACTGCAGTCTCACATGCAAATTATCATGTAATTGAGTTCCATCCATGTCACAGACCCCATACATCAACCCGATCTTTAACCAAAGCCTTAATTTCAAGTTCCAACACAGCAGTACTTGAAATCCAACACTATTCCTACACCAGAGGCCATATCAAATGCTGATATTAAATATGAGCTCCACACTACAATACACAGATACTGAAATTACTACACTCAATGACACCAAAAAGAAGCCTAAGTGTAACCCTACAAAGAACCCTAAACCAGGTACTTACATTCCTAAATCAATCATAAACCAACCCCTAAAATTAACATTAACAATAAGCATCTAACCAATACTGCATTACACAGGGAGTGAGATTCAAAAAACATTCCTAAGACTACACCTAAGCCTGAACGTACAATAATCCTAAGCACAAACAAGTATATATACACTACAGTGCTCACGTAGCTGGAATCAAACATGACTACTCACCCTAATGAACATAGTAGCCCAAATCTTCATACTCACAATGCAATGATCAGGCACAGGAACTCCATCCATATTAGTACTGCGGAACCTAATCCTAAATCTAAACTTGTCCCAAAAACCTCAACCCTAATGCTATCTCTAAAGGATAACACTAACCCTAACCTAAACCCTAATGAAAACCTTAAAGGCTAATCCTAAACCTAACAATAACCATAACCTAATGAAAACCCTAACCCTAACCCTCACAGTCACCCTAACCCAAATCCTAATCCTAATCCTAATTAAATATCCTAACCCTAACCCTAAAGCCTTACCCTAACCCCAAAATTTAACCCTAACCCTAACTCCCTAACTTCAATCCCCTAATATTATCCTTAATCCCAACCAAAACCTAAAGTCTAACTAACACATAAATGGTAACTCTAACCCTAATTCTGTTTTTCATTCTCAGAGTACAAAAATCAGGGAATTAAATTCTAACTACATATTTATCCTTATCCCTAACCCCAATCCTCACCCAAACCCTAACCCTCTAAACCAAAACCTAACTTTAACTTCCCCCTCCACCTTCCTCTACCCATAGCTCTAATGCTAAACCTTCCCTTACATCTACCCCTAACCTTGATCCTACCTCTAACCCTAACCCTTAATACTAATCCTCAAATGTTCCCCCTTTGTACCTTAAAATTTTCAGTACTCTTAATCCTATCCCTAACCCCAGCATGTACACTAACCCATCCTCCAGTACTAAAGTGAACTTCTACCCTATCCCAAAACCTAGTGTAACACACACACACACACACACACACACACACACCAACCATTAAGGTAATCCAAATCACCAGTAGATCACACAGCCAAACAGCATCCCATGCAAAAAATAAACCCAAACTGGTACACGAACCATAATATCAAAATAGAACCCTAAACTTCAATAGAAACTCAGCCCTAAACTATAAACACCAACTCTTATGCCAAAAAAGACCCAAACTTTGACCATAACCCTAAACCAAACACATATCTGAATATATCCCAGAATATCAACCTGAGCCAAATATTAACATGAAGCTAATGTTAATCTGAACCAAACACAAACAAATCCAAAATCAAACCCTAATGCAAGCCAGAACACAAATCCACAAACGTACTGGGACATGAACCCTGTAACTCTCATGACCAAAACAAACACAAATACATAAACAAATCTGAATACAAAACCAGAATGGAACCCAAACACAAAACTGAACATGTTATGGGACTTGAACTGTAATACAATCATAAATCTGAATCTGAGCATCAACCAGAACACAAAGGTCAAACTGAGTATCATGTAATTCACAAAAGTAACCTGCTGAAGATTAAAACTAGACCAATATATCTCATCATGAACTAGATTAAAATTGAAGTGGATCAAAGACCTAACTACTAAAACAGAAACATTGAACTTGGTGGAAGATAAATTAGTTAGAACTTTCCAAGACACTGGCATATGAAAAATCTTTATAAACAAATCCTCAGAAGCATGGGAACTGGTACAAAGAATCAACAACTGGGATCTCATCTTATTAAAAAGATTCTGCACTGCAAGAGAAACCAGCAATAGAGATAAGAGACAACCTACAATGTGGTAAAAATGTTACCAGCTGTTCCTCATACAAAGGTTTACTAAATAGAATATATAAAGAACTCAAAAAAATCAGGCCACCACCAAATATAAAGACCCAATTCAAAAATGGCCATCTGAAATGATCAGACATTTCTCAGACAAACAAGTAAAAGATGATAATAAATACATGAAAAAAAATGTTCAACAACACTGTTCATTCAAGAGATGTAGATGACAACAACACTGAGAATCCACCTCACCCCACAAAGAATGGCTAAAAGAAATTAACCAATAAATTTGCTGGTGGGATTGTGGAGAGATAGGAACCCTTCTCTATTGTTGGTGGGAGTGAAGACTGGTGCAACCACTGTGGAAAGCAATAAGGAGATACCTAAAAATAAACCTAGGATTAGAGGTCCCTTTGACCCAACTATCATTTCATTGGGTATCTTTCCAAAAGAATTAAAAGAATCATACCACAGCAATTAAGTGCACTCATGTCTATAGCAGCACATTTTGTAATAGCTAAAACTTAGAAACAGCCCAATTGCCCATCAACTGGAGACTGGAGAAAGAAGATGTTGTTTTTCCATAAAATAGAGTACTACTCATCCATAAAGAAGGATAAACTAGAGACATTAATAGCTAAATGGATGAATATTGAGGCTATACTCTTATGTGAAATAAATAGGACATACATGTGTAAATACTATATAGTTTTTCTGGTGTGAAAAACAAAGTGTAAATAGGATTCAAATTTTACAATTGATAATGTGAAATAGGACGAAAAGGGCTAAAGGAGTAGGGGAGGTGAGAAGGGTAGGGGAAAGGAAAAAAGGGAAAAGAAAAAAATACAAGAAAAGGAAAAAATGGTAACAAAGACTTTGTAAATATGGAAGGGTGGACGGGGTGAAGGGAGGGCAGGAATTTGGGGAAAAATAAGAACAAAGATACGTCATGTAAAGGTACAAGATCCCACTGATGAATGTAACTGTGCTATACAACAAAAAAGTACCAATAAACAGTGAAAAAAATTTAATACACAAAAGTAATTATCAATTATCTTGATATATCAATGATGCATCAATTATATATATATATATAAATTGTGTATCCATTGCATATCAATTATGTAAAATTAATAGATTATGTATTACCAATATTCCTCATTTATTGGCCAGGTTCTGTTCCTGTGACTGTCAGTAAATGAATTGTTCAATAGATTAGAAATTGAATATAGTATGTACAGTGCAACATTCAGAACAAAGAAAGGGTTAAAGGAAAATCCAATTTGATGACACTTTCCATCGCACAACTCATATATATCACTGTGATATATAGAATAAAAACTACATTTCTGTACCATACAGTACAACTAACACATTTTAAAGTACTGTATAAAAAACATGTACTGCACCCCCCAAAAAAACATTGAAGCTCTAAAAACAAGTGGCAGAGAACTGTGTAAAGAAAAAGATGGATTATAAGTCCCAGTGGCAGATCATAAATTCAGTGTACCTCAGTCATAAGTCCAGTCATTCAAGTAATTAAATGACAAATATCTGTATATGCAAATATATTTCACCTTGCAACTATATATCATGTATATTGATATTTTGAATTATATTTAATTGATATATATGTAAATTTTTATATACTATTTATGTGAATCAGTATAGAAATCATTTTGATAACCCTAAGAAAAGTGAAATTTGTACTCTCTGACTGATATGTTTGAACATCAGTAAAACAAGCCAAATACCGGATTGTTCCTTGAAAAACATATATTGAAAAATAAAAAAATTTGTTTTCAATTAGCAATAATCGCGCCTCGGATAAACCTCATTGGCTATGATACTGCCACTGCGCAAAGCTTTAAATTTGTTTTCAAAACACAGAAATAACCCTCAATGTCAAAAACTAATAATTCAACAAAAAATGGAAAATTTCTGAACCAGATAATATCAGACCATACCAAAGCCATGACCAAAAACTTCAAAGTACAATAATCAATACTGTTTCTGCAGATAGAGCATTATCTCACTGAAAAAAATGAGTAAATAATCCCACTAATGACAGTTTTCAAAAAAAAATATCTGAGAATGATCATAACAAAAATGTAAACATGCCCTATAACAAAAACTGTAGTGCTCTAAATAACAGAGAGAAAATGAAGACACTAAAAAATAGACCCTCCTTGCTCCTGGATAGGCACAGCCAGTGAATATAGTCAAAATGTTCATATTCCCAGAGATGACAGATGCTTTTAATGCAATTCCCATCCAACTACTTGCAGTATTACTTACAAAACTATAGAGCACGCTGCCACAATTCATAAGAAATCAGAAAAGAGTAGCCAAAGAATCCTGAGCATAAGAGCAAAGCAGGATGATTCATTATTCAAGATTTAAAGTTACGTTGTAAACTTACAGTGATAAATATATCATGGCATTGGCACAAAAACATACATGTGGATTGCAATAGAAGTCAGAATGAACAAACCCAGGTGCCTTTAACCACTTGACTTTGGACAAAGGGTCAAGCAACATACAATGGAGAAAGCAGCTTCAAAAATTGTCTTGAAAATGCTCGTGATCCTAGTACAGAAAACAAAATCCAGACCCAATTCTCACACATTCTCTACAAAAACCAAGTCAAAATGGACAAAAAAACTAGATATTAAACCAGAAACACAGAATAGCATGGAAAATAAAATAAGTAGAGCCCTTGAAGACATGAACAGGAACAAGGACTTTCTGAATAACTCAATTGCACAAGAAATAATATCAACAATCAACACATGACATTATGTCAAATTAAGATGTTTTACAGCAAAGGAAACACCATACAGACTGAAGAGAACATCTCCAGAGGGGGAAAAACTTTGTCAGCTATTCCCTGGACAGAGGATTAATATCTAAAATATATTTCAAAAACTCAAAAATGTTAGACCCACCAAATAAAGACCAAATTTTAAAAAAATAAGTACTCATTTATGGCCACAAAATGTAGAAAGAATATGTTCAATATCTTTGTCCATTAGAGAAATTCAAATCAAAGCCCCATTTAAAATGGAACTCATTCCAGTAAGCATGTGTAAGAACATAAAAAGTAATGCAGGTGGGGTTGAGGGGGAAAAGGAACCATTCTGCAAAGTTTATTGCAATAAGAAATAGTACAAACACTCTGGAGAGTCCCCCACCAAATTAAAATCAGAGATCCAAGTATAACTATTTTGGGTATTTTCACTAAAGATTTAATGACATCTTACAGAGATACATGCTTTCACTGTTTGTAACAGAGTAATTCATAATATCTAAATTTTGGAAACAACCTATATATCCACCAAAAGATAAATATATTTAAAAATCTGGTATATATACAAAATGGAGTACTACTCACCATAAAGAGAGACAAAATGCACTTAGGAGGTTGAGGCAGTAAGATTACTGTGAGATAGAGGTCAGCCTGGTTATCCCAGCCAGATACAAACCTAAACTATGGCAAAAACAAAACAACAACAAAACAGAAATATTTGATTCATTTGTGGGAAAATGAGTGCATCCTGAGACTATCATGCTAAGTGAAATGAACTACACTCAAAGGGTTAAATATTGAATAGTTTCCTTTTTAGGAAAAACTAAAAATATTCATAATTTAAATGCTACGTCAAAGAAAAGTGAAATGAAAAAGGGATGTATATTTTCAGAATGTAAGAAGGGGATCTAGGTTTTAAAAGAAAAGACTGGTTCTACCACCAGCTTCACAAGTGCAAGGTCCTTATTTTGATCAGCAGCACCAAAAAAAAGTGGGGGAGTAAGACTGGGCAGAGAAAGGAAAGTAAAAGTGATTAACATGTAATATGTATATGTACAAATTCCACAAGATAATTATAATTATTATGAATCATAAGTGTATACCAATTAAAGCAACAACAAAGAAGACTTTGGCCAAGATTACAATATAGGGTTAAATTTGCCTATCAACAAATCCAGGAATCAAGTAGGGAGCAGTTCAGGGTCCAAGGACCTCACAAGCATGAGGGTGCAGGCATGCATGGCATTGGGCCACATAAACCAGTGAGCACTCACATGAGCAGCATTGGCTCAGAGACTTCATATCCAGGTCAAGGGGAAGATGAGGCACTTGGAGTAGATTTCAAAGTAGTGTCCAGGGGCCTGCACGACCCTTTGCTGCTCCACCATCCTTTCATGCAGCAGAATGTCCTGAAGCTTGTGATGATAGAGCTCTGAGTGGACTGCTGCAAAAATGGGATTTATTGGCCCCACAGCCGCCAATCAGGACAAGAGACAATTTCTGTTTGCATGACGTGGTGAGGAGCGCTATAAACAGACTCAGCTGCTGCACGCGGTAAGGAGAAAACCCACCAGCTGAAAGTCTCATTTCCTCTCTTATCTAAATGTAAGCAATTATCTTGTTACTGCCCAAAATTTGTTTAAAGGAATAAAGCTTAAGATAGTATCTGTTCTTAGTAAAATTTAAAACAAAACTTTATTAAAGTTTTTAGATTTGTTGAAATAATTTTGATCTCTACTGCCTCATTAAAATTAAATCTTTCAACATAGGGAAGGGTGGAGGAGGTGAAGGGAGGCCAGGGGGATGGGAAAAAGAAGAGCCAAGATGTATTATGTAAAGGCACAAGGTCTCAGTGATGAGTGTAACTGTGTTTTATACCTAAAATGATTCAATAAAGAAAGAAAACAAAAAATTAAATGTTTTTAAAAATGAGTCTTAAAATGTTTATTTTTCCTTACCTCTCAGGCAAGGCAGTTTCTACTTTGTCAGCAAGGCTGTTTACAACAATAGCTTATTTTTATTTATATAGAAATTTAATTGCCCCATTTTATTGTTACCCCACAAATAGGCAGAAATGACAGTTCAACATATAAAACTTTCAAAGTGGAGATAGTAGACATTATATATTATCTTTGATAGACTGAACTATTTAGCTGGAAAATATTGGCTTTTTCTCTTAAATCTTAGAACTTTCCCTCTAACTTTCCTAGACTGGGTTCCAGAAGAACTCCTCATGTGAAAGTTAAGTGTGAGAACTACAAAATTTTGCTAGTTGCATCCAACAAAGCTAGTTGGCTTGTTAAATACATGCTACTGAAGAAAACCTGGAGCAAGTGGCAGGCATCCCCTAGGAGCTTACCCAAATGTTTCTGACCAGAGAAAATTAAACAATATTTATAGGCTAACTTGAGATGATTGATACAAAACTGTAAATTTCACCAGCCAAATACATAGTCTAAGAGCGCTTATAAAATAAGCTAATGCATTATTAACTCTGTTGGAAACCAGAGAACTGAGGCCTAAATGGCCTCCTCTGTGAGCACAAAGGAAAAAGGCCACACTCAGGTGTGATTATATACTGAGGGGCTAAGGAAAGTTTAAGACACCTGAGGTTAAATTGTTTACCAGAGTATGTACTAAAGACCTGAGAACATTGGCAATTTCTGTGCTACAGGTAAATTTCCCCAGTGTGCCCTTTGTAAGAACTATCTTGTCTCACTTTTCCAGACCAAAAAAAAAAAAGAGGAATTGGACTCCAGAGGCATCAAAAGCAAAGCTTTCAATCCAAACTCTTCTGAGAGTGGTGCCCATATAAACACAGGCACAAACTAGTTGAGAAACTTTGTGTTTTTATCCCTAACTAGCAGGAGTTCCTCCTCCCATCTCAATTGGCCTGGGGTACAGGGATCACAGTCTATCCTGAGCAATCAATTTCATCCCACACCTGTTGTTCCCCTCCAGTTTAGTTATTCCCTCCTCACTCTGTATTTCTCTTTGTAGTTATTTTTAGCATGTTGGCTTCCCCAGACTGGAGAAAAATCAGCTCAGGAGTGTTTGTACAGCTGTCACGAGCCAGCGAGGCAGAGCACTGTCCAGCAGTGTCTCAAACTTGAAAGAGCAGCGGGGTGGAGATGAGGGCAGAGAGAAAGGAAGGACACCAAGACAAGAGTCTGATCAAGGTGACACT